GACATGCCAACTCCTGCATCTGCTGGATATACGTCCATCTGGATTATCTGGAGGATTTTCTGTGATGCTCCTGCATGTGCAGAGGCTCAGGGATGGGTGTAAGAGTTCATGTGCAGACATGAATACCGCTGCGGGTATAGGTGTTGCCTCAGCCACTGGTACGTGTTCGCTGGTTGTTATTAATGGTAGGGATGCAGAAGCAGGGCTTTGGCAGCATAGCCTGTGTTTCCTCGCTCAGGCTCCTGTTGGCTGAGCTCTCCGGAGGCCGCAGTGTCAGCCAGAGGTTACTTATTTCCCATATAACGCTTATCTCGGGCTACTGTGCTGAGCACCCTTGGCCAGCAGCACAGCTTAGAAATAGAAATGATGCTCAGAGTGGCCTGCACCAGCCCACAGCACAAGGAATCCCACCCAGAGGGAGGTGATCGGATCCGTACCCCATCACTCTGAGACAGCGTGGTTTGAGCGAGGGGTTAAAATGCCAAGTGCTTTAGTTCCCTTTTTGTAAAATTGGGCTAATATTGTTCATAAAAATGTGAGGGTGAAATCTACTTGCCATGCTTTCAGCTGGGGGGTGAGGACGGCAATTCAGGGTACGTGCAGATAACAACATAGGGATCATTAGGATATGAGGAGTTAGGTAGATTTTTTTGTACCAAATTTACTTCTCAAGCCGGAATTTACCTCCTCAAGGACACAGGGTTTTTGCAAATGATACAAACTGTATGGAAGTCCATCAGAAACCATGGACTGAAGGGCTCAGAGGAACTGCTAAGAGCCCTGTAAGGAAACGTGCTGATCAGTGTGAGCAAGCTGGGGGGGTGTCTCAGACAGCACTGTGGGACCAGCTGCCTTCAAACCTGCAAAGGGACCATCAGCATCAGCAGCCACTGCAGCTGCCCTCCCTCCCACTTCCCCACACCTTGCCCTTGCCCATCAGCAGACGAGGAGAGGGCTGGCTGCAGCACCCCAGCTACAGCAGATCCATGATGGACAGGAGGTTCTCCTTGGTATTTAGGTATCTAACGGCTGCTGCTTTAAATAGGGCTTATGCAAATGTCATTTGACACAAACTTACATAAATGCTGAATATCTATCAACTCAAAATTTGACATGTAATTGCTATTTTTCCAGTATATTTTATTTTTGGCAAGAAATACAATAGGACATGATTTTCTGCCTGTGCATGCCTCCATCAAAGGTACTTTTCTAAAATGAATGAAGCTTTCTGGTAAAGTGCTTTTGACCTATTTCATCACCAATTTAACATGTTGCCAAGAAATAAAATGCAGCCAAATTGTTCCTGTTTATTTGTGAAGCTGTGATACAAAATGTAGACTTAGAAAAGTTTTTAAAACTTGAACTGTTTAATGAATGAACCTCCAGTTATTTCCTATATGGGCTGCTCACTTACAAGTCAGTGAGAACACAGCAAAATTTTTCCTCATAAAGCCCCTATACATTTTTTTCGGTCAGAACTGGCTAAGTTTGTTCCTACAGGGAAGAGTTTCCAGAAATGCAGCCTATGGTTCGACAGCCTGAAAGAAATCTTCCCGCAGAGCTACCCTGTCTGCCACACTGAATGAATAGCCCAGCGCCTGCAAGGGCTCTTGTCTTCCCTGCATGTAAAACAGATCTCAAAAGCCATGTCCAGACCCAAAATGGGTGGGGGGAGACACCCATGCTCTTTCAGATAGCGAAGGCTTTGGGGAGATGCCAGGAACATGAGGTGCTGCAGAAATGCCCTGGGAAACAGAGGAGAAATGCTTTGTCTCTGCTAGAAAGTATTTGCCAGTGCAGTCATACACTGCAAACACCGAGCAGCTGCAGCAGGTGAGATAGAGGATTAAACCAGTGCCAGCATTGCTTCTGCCAATGCAGGTTGTTTGCCACCGCGCTCTCTGCCTGCAGCATCTGCTCTGCCTGTGTAAAACCTGGCAAGAGACAAGGCAGGAGGCACCTTGCCCCATGTTACTACCTGAGACAAATTCATGCTACCTATCTTGGACTGACTTCTGTTAGCTGCTCCTAGGTAAAAAATGCTACTGAAAACTTGATGGCACTTTTTTCTCCCAATAAAGTTATTTCTTACAATTTAGGCAATAACCCTGGAGGCAAGCAATGCCGTATTCATCCATCAATGCTGGTGGGGAGATATATATCTTTCCGGAGGCATTTGACAATAGTTGATTTTACCATGCAAAAATGAAGGTTATCCAGGTGATATTTTTTTGTTCTTGTTTTCCACAGAAAAGCAGTTCATTATGCACTAGTACCTGTTTACTACTAGAAGCAGACCCTATTCACCGTCTGGAGTCAACGCATGCCAGTGTGACTCCACCGACTTTAGCATTTCTGTATAGAAAAGTTTTGGTACCGGGGGAAGCAAAGCTAATGGATGGTAGAGTGCCAACTGCAGGAGTGACAGCTACCGTGCGTGTTAAATGCTTGCATGTTCCCTGCTAGATCTGAAATATTTTCCTGCTTGTGCAAGAGTCGTATGAAGGTGGCTACTCTTCTTTAACAAAAATGCATGTATTTTGCTAGATTTGGCTAATTGTTTGGTGACTTGCAGAAACAAGTCCATTTCCTAAGTGAGAAGGAAGGAAGAAATCCTGTCCTCCCTCGCACTGAGCAGCCAGTCTCCTTCTTTCTGACATTAAATGTTTTAAATTCTGTTCTACACACAAAGTTGTGGCAATTTCACAGTGTTGGTATAGTTAAAATTTGCAGACTCTCCTGATGAAATGTTAGGTTAAATGAAATTATTTGTATGTTTATAGTTTATATGCAGAAATTAAATGTCTACACAGGGCTTTAATGTTACAGTTATCCTGGTTTAAAAAAAACCAAACAAACCCCCCCCCAAAAAAACCCCATAGCCTAATCAAGTTAGTTACACAGGTTTGGGGGAAAAAAAATTAAAACCCAACGATGCAGTTCTCAGCTAGGTAAAAGCCTCTGTGGGACCATTCTGGCCACACAGAATTGCTTCCTATAACTGAGACACAGGTTTTACTTGTAGGGAATGGAGCAAGCCCGTGAAGTCTTGCATGCCGTGGGTGACACCGGTGCCCATTTCATTCCCCATCCCGATGCCAAGGGGTGCCTGCCCTGCCTGCTGCCAGTCCTGCAGCGCCTGGGGCCATGCCCAGCTCCCATGCGGCAAGGAGAGGTGCATGGCAGCGCTGAGCGAACCTGAAGGAGACTCACTTCTCCAGCTTGTGTGCAATCATACCAGATCCTCCACCGCCACTGACCCGCTAGGGTTATAAAGGGTCTCATCACTTTATTTCTTTCTCTGTTCACATTTAATACCACAGACACAGCTGAGATTTGAAACACTTGCGTGATTCTACCTGTGTGATTGGTTCACTTACACAGACATGTTATTAGTGAGCTCACATCTTCACAATCTTTTCAAGATTCCCCAATTCCTTATTTCCCTGAGTTGCACGACATCTGCCATCAGATCTGTTTGTCAGTTGACAACAAGCGAGAGAACAAAATGAGTAACAAGGCGGATGTGGTTAGAGATGAAACGGGAGATGATCCTATAGCGCTGCTGCTCGTTTGTCCCTTAATTTATAGGTTTGCATACATCAAACCTGTGCTTGCTGCGCGTGCTGGGGTGGGGAGCAAGACAGGCTCAGGTGCCACACCGAGGAGCAGCAAGCAGCCCCCTGGCCCTAGCAGAGCACTGGGTGATATAAAAGACACGGTATATACAGAAGAGGCCAAATTCTCTTTTTAGTTATACCTGAGCAGCACCGTCAGCTAAAGGTGTAACAGGCGGAAATGGCCCATCAGCGTTAATAGGAGTTTGAAGGCAGTAGGACTTTTGCTAACAGACAATTCATTATGGAGAATCAGTTGCAGACCAGCTGGTAATAAATACTAGAACAAAATAAATAGAGAGCTGCTATTGCACGTGCATGCTCCGAGGCTCTATTAGCTGGACCACAAAATCTACGTGTTGGTGTGACAATAGATGCAATATAAAACATACTTATTAGCGTAAAGGATGGAAAGTTTTCTGGTTTGCCTTTTAATGGCATACTTGAGTTATAAAAATCAATTGAATTTAAGATTTTTATGGATCAAGTATGAGAATGTGTCTGCCTGTGTCTTTTAACGCAGATTTTTCTATTACTTTGTCAGGTCACGTTGGTCAAAAAATGTTCTCAATTTAATACTGCAGCAAACTAGTACAACTGCACACCAGGCTTTATGGGGGACGTGGTACTGGTAACCGGCTGATATGCTTTAAACAGAAACAAGTGGTGTTTTACAGGCAGGAGACCTGCCCTTAGCAGACTTGGGGGGTATGGAGGTGTTCGGCATAGGGACAGGTAGCCACAGACTCGTTACAAATATCGAAACAACTAAAAGCTTCCAAGTTCAAACACATCGAGTCGTTCACGGTCAAGCTGAACAGAACAAGTACAGATGATTTAGCTAGTAAAAAAAAAAAATTACTTTGGTGGGAGATTGCATTCCATATTTTTATAGCATCACTGCAGTCCTGAAGTCAGCACTGTCCTTGTCCCAATGATACATACTTAAAAAAAATATTTCAGTACAGTCATGTTCTAAGCCACTTCCATGAAGGTATTTTTTTCGTTTCCTTTCTACTAGGACATGAACGTGAAGGTCATTTATTTTTAGCATGTTTAAAAATTATCCATTTTATTTCTCCTTTTCTTTTTTAAGAAATCATTTTCCTCATTCAGAGAAAAATGTTCATTTATTTAAAAATTAAGATTATGAAAACTGTATCAAATTCCATGTTTACTACTCCAAAAAGGCATCTCAATTTTCTCTCTCTAGGGTCTAGTTATATGCTAGCAAAATTCTTAGCAAAACTAAAGTTACCTCTGGAAAAATTCAGCTCGAATTAGCTGCTACTGAAGTCACGCAAACTCCCAAGCGAACTGGACTACGTTTGCCTGTTAAGAACGGTAAAGCCTAGCTCTCCTGCTAAAGCCAGTGCTAAAAAATCATATGGGCAAAAGCAGCAGAAAAATAATACTTGAGCGTTGCCAAATTCTGTGACCATGTGCCTCCTTTTATAGTCCCAAAGTGTAGTTATTTTTTTTTTAAATCTTCAACTGCCTACATTACATCTTTCAGCAAATCCAGACGATGACGAAAGTACAGCTTTGTTCCGATTTGTGTTTCTCGCCCTCTCTCTCTTTCATTATGGCTTTCTGGGAAATACTGCTAAGTGATGCTCTGGCGCCGGAAATCAGGTGTCATGTGATAACGCTCGGTTCTGTCCAAACACGCGAACTTTCTTGCTTTGTGCCGGAGAGTCTTTTCTTTGGAAGGGGTTTGAGTCCAAACAGCCGGCAAGCGGCGACTCGGTACTTCTTCGACATGATGTTGTAGAGGATGGGGTTGATGGCCGCGCTAAGGTAGAAGAGGACAAAGGACACCAAGTTGCAGTACTGGCTGATCACTGCTATCTCCAAGGATCCAGCTTCAAAGGATTTGGAAAATAAATATCGTCCTACGTGAAAAGGCAACCAGCAGAGTATGAAAGCAAATACCACCACAACTAAAATAAAAACAGCAGAAGAAATTGTGTTAAGTACAAGTATTAAAATACAGGTGATTAAAATTCTGTTTTAAAGTTCTGGGTTTTTAACAAATTAATCACAAAGTGTGAAAATGCCTCCCGTAATTTTTCAGTTTTGTGCCTCTCAATACATTCTCTGGGAGTATAAATTAGCGATACTTAACACACATTGGTCGTATCTAAACAGGCTGCCTGTATACTGCACGACTAATCTGAGGTAGCGTACTTCTAAACGATAAAACATATGTTTTTATAAAATCAGAATTAAGAATCAGAATGGTGACAAAAAAAGTAAAACAATGTATCATCTGCAGTGTTTAACAAAAGCAAATTGTATATAATGTGATAGACTCAACACTGTGTTGTAATGAAGAATGTACTCACTGGGAAGCAAAATTGTTTAAGGCAAAGGCCCAAAAATAAAACAAACCACCAGAATTTGGACTTGTAGAGCACATGTGCCAAGGTAAGAACAGGAAGAGTGGTGCACCCTTCCAGTTTGTCCATTTTTTAAAACAGGAGTTACTTCAAGAATAGTAAAACTAAATATATAATATATAACTGCATAATTATAGTTACATAGTATATCTGTAATATTACACTACCACTATGGTTGCATTTTTATGTAAATATAATATATGTAGAGTGATAGGAATGTGCGTATCTTTGAGCATTGGCCCATTTGGATTTCCATCCTAGAGAAAGGGAAACTTTTTCTGTTCATTTCCTGTGTGCTATTGACCTTTTATGATTTTTCATATTGCTTTGAGTGTGTCTATTAATATACCAGAGAGAGAAAAACCACAAAACTTAAGCAAGGTTTTTTGACATTCTTAAGCATTTTTTACCAATTAACCTGTTCTCTTGTGTTAGCAATCCTGCTTGCTCGTGTCAAGTCACAGGAGATACAAAATTCAAAGAGCTAAGAGGGATGATTGTCAGCACCTTCCCCAAAAAACTTTCTGAACAAGCACTCCCAAGTTTAAATGGATACTTATGCAGGACTTATGGTGGACTCTAAAGCACAGAGCTGAAATTCAGAGTATCTGTTTTCCAGCTCTGCATCTTCTTGAGCCAACCACTTCCATTTTTTCCGCCGTATCTTCACCTACAAAATTCAGATAACGTTTCCCTAGCTCACAAGTGTGCTCTGGAGTTTAACCCATGTAATATTACCATGATGGTCATTACAAACAGAATTTTAAGCATAGTCAGTATTTTCACATGTGGGCATGCATATCCCTAGTCAGGCTTTCAACAGTTTAATCTTCACGCGTGCAGAATCACATTGATTTCAATAGGAACGGGGTATGATAGCTCCTTTGCAAGTCAGGCTATACATTTAGGTGTTTAATTACCATCCTAGAAGCATAACCTTTCTCTACAATTTAAAACAAGCGTTGACGCTAATCCCATTTACTTGATGTTCCATGACTTGCTGAAGTCTTATAAAGTGCCTTCTAAATTTTAAGCAGAACATTAAAACCAATGAGAGCAGACTGCATTGAGCATCTGCTGGTACTGGGCCCTTCTAACTTCTTTTCTTTCCATCTTTCCATCAGACATCAGACTGTTACTTAGAAAATATTGGTTGTCTGTCAGAGGACAGTCTTGCCACTGTCTTGCTGTTCTCAGACCTTCTAAAAGAAAAAAAAATAAAGGTGTCTGAAATATTGTAATGCTTGCTGCTACACTTCGGGGCAGAAATAAACATTATTTCAAAATTCTTTACGGTTAAGTATACAGAAATATAAACATGGCAGTAATATAAGCCAGCAATTTACTTATTGTAAGTAGAGATTCATAATCCCGAAACTCTAGAAGTGTAAATGACGAAATTACTTCCAAGGTCACGCTTACCAGACTGAAGTAATTCTATTGATCATAAAATGTAGCTGAAAGGGCACAAAGAATGACGCGGTTTTTATTATTCTTCCTGCTGTTGCATAGTAATACAGCAGGACATGAACAAAAAATCAGTTAGGCTCCCATTTAGTAATTAAGGTACTTCGGACACACTGCCACCTCTTCATCTAGCTCATTAGCCCATCACTTCCACCCAGCTGAAATGAGCACAGCAGAGCTGCTGCCCGTGAAACCTTCTCCACGCAAAGCGCCTCATCCCCACTGAAACCCATGGGATGACTTGCGCTGCGGAGGACTTTTTGCTTGACTAAAAGTACGCAGCAGCAGCAGGATTCTGCAGTTCTCAGACACTACACTGCAGCACAACTTTTTGGTTTTGTGCATCAAACTCCCATCACATGCACTGACTTAGTATGTTAAAAATTGTGTTTCCATGTGCCAAAAATAACCGTTGTTTAAACCGTTCAGTAATGTAAATACACAAAGTTAGGAATGACAGTGTCTATCGTCTCGATCCTGTTTTCTTAAAGTCACTGAGAATTTACATGAGAACAGACCTCAAAGGAGACAAAATGCTCCCTGTTCAGCACACGCTGGTGTTTTGCTAATATAAAAATGCAGATTGATTTTCATAAGCTCACACAGCCATCCCAGTAAATAAGCCAAATTTGATAAAACCTTGATAGTCTTTTCATGTGAAACTAAAAACTAAGTGCACATCGTATCCTGCAGCTCAACTTTGTGGTTTGAGAAGGGTTTAGTTTTGTTTAAAAATCAAATAAACTACCCTTCTGTTAATAACATCGGTATCCACAACCAAAGAGCAAAAATGTTCAAAAAATCTCCAGGGCACTAGCTAATTGTAACTGCAGTATTTGTCCTTGTCCGTGATTCTTACTAACGTTTGCTTAACCGTTTGAGAGTCCCCAGCTCGAACCAGTTAGAAATAAATCTAAGGAAGGAGGAGAGTTATTCTACGAATACCTTGAGGTGTAGCCCTTTGTATGAAACACTTCCAGCAAATGCTTTCCTTCGGAAGCACCTATAGTGAGCTACCAGTGCGCTCTCAGTCTCTCTCTCTCACACACACACAAGCACACACATCCTTTGGCAAAGCAGAGCAAGAGTCGTACCTAACATTTTCACAGTTTGCTTGTTGTTCTTATCCCTGATGACAGCGTTTGGACCGATGTTCTTCCTCTTTCTCCTCCAGAGCTTCCTCCCAACGAGGCTGTACAGCACGGTCAGGCAAAACACGGGCAGGAAAAAGAAGATGCTGGAGGTCCAGACCATGATGGTGAGGAGCCCCGAGCGGATGGCGTACTCCGTGGCTCGGCACTCGTTGGTGCTCAGGGGGTTCGTGCCGTTCTCGTGCTCGACCCCCACCAAGACAAAGATGGGTCCGGCGCTAATGAAGGAGACGGCCCAGAGGAAGAGGATGACCAGCTTGACCTTCCCCTTGGTGATGATCACTTTAGCTCGGAGCGGGAAACAGATGGCGACGTATCGCTCCGCGCTGAGGGCGGTGATGTTGAGGATGGTGGAGTAGGTGCAGCTCTCGCTGACGAACTGGAAGAGCTTGCAGAGGAGGTCCCCGAAGTTCCAGGGCCGGTACTGCCAGAGGCGGAAGAGGTCCAGGGGCATGCAGAGGAAGATGAGCAGGTCGGAGAAGGCCATGCTGGACAGGTAGAAGTTGGTGGTCGTCCTCATGTCCCGGAACCGCGACACCACCAGCATGGTCATGAGGTTGCCGATGATCCCGATGACGAAGAGGAGGACGCAGGCAACGGTGATGCCGGTGAGCACGGGCGCGGGGAAAAGGTGCAGCGGGGGCTCGGTGCCCGTCCGGTTCTCCGCGCCGCGGCCGCCCGCGCTCCCCTCCC